ACTTGCAAATAATGATCTACCTGTTGATATCCAAAGGTTGAGATGTCGTGCTCTGTGTTATTCAAAGCGGACCTCAACCTGCTACACTTGAGGGCAGCATTTCACGAGCATATCGGTGATGTTATGGGTGCCTTGCGAGACTATCGAGTTGCTGTCTCTGTTGACCCAAACCATGAGATGCTGGAACTTCACAGCAGTCAAGAGCCATGAACCCCCAAAACACAAAATAGAATAAAAAAAAAAATGGGGTTTTTTTTTTATTTAAAATTTTAAATATTGTGTCACCATTGTATATTTTGTGAGCATGTGCAATGTAATGTCCATGTTTATCTTCTTTATAATTTTTTGGTAATCAATATCATGGACTGTCCTCACCACTGTTTCCTTCATACTTTTCCAAATGGCATGGATTCATCAAGAATCAACACTTAAAACTACGGTAGAGTGAGTGTTAATTTATTTAGGAATGGATCAGCTACTGCATGGATTTAACTTATTGGATTTTTTTCTTGAAGGATGTTGTATTGGGTACTATTATAGATGTGAGGGAATAATAATCTCACAGAAATATGTTTGTACAAAGTTTTATTCATTATTGCTATTTTACAGGTATATTTTTAAAGTTAAATCTTACAAAATTAGTAGTTTAAAAAAAAAAAAAAAAAATCTATTGCGGCGTTTTTTAAAACGCCACTATAGTTATTTTTAAAAAATAATAAAAAAAGTTATGGCGACGTTTTTGAAGTGTCGCTGAATGCCTGTGCGACGTCATGTGATAGTTGGCTGCCACATTTAGCGGCGTTTGTATAAACGCCTCCTATACTAATTTTACGACGTTTTTAAAGCGTCATAAACTTACAGCGACGGCCGCGTCCTCGGCGTTTGGTAGTAAGCGTCACTAAAGGAATTAGCGGCGTTTTTCAGACATATAGCGGCGTTTTTAAAACGCCGCTAAAAGTCGTTTTTCCAGCAGTGAGAATGGTAGAGTGAAGGAACTTTCTGAAAAAAATAGTAAAAGATTAGATACTGGCATTTTCCTTTATCTTATTAGAAAATTCCCTACTTACATAAGATATTTTGATTTTACTAGAACAGTATCAAACATTGAAAAACTACAAATTTTAGTAATCTAGCTTGATTTTGCTTTTGTCAGACACAACTTCACCTGAAACACTTAAGAGGCTCTTAAACCAAACAATCTTTCTCTTCTATTCTTTAATGAAAATTCATAGAGCATTGTTTCTTTATTCTCTACAAAAATTTCTTTTATGCAATTAAATCTCCCAATTTTGGGTTGTAAAGAAGGCATAAAATTTGAGGTTTTCCATGATAGCCTGAGATGTTCTCATAAATGTATTAAATTTTAGAACCATCTTATTCCTCTAGACTAAGATAATTAGGCATAAAATTAGAGTTTGGATAGGAATATGATGACTCTAAAATTTGAGAGAACTAAGATGTTCTCATTGAATGCATTAAAATTAAAAATGTAATTTATAAAATATATATATATATATATATATATACTAATTAAGTAGCTAAACCAATATATATGTTTTGCACAAAGTAGCACTCAGTGTGTTAATTTATTTATTTTTTTATCAAAAAGAATAATTTTGTTAAAACGAAAGAATATTACAATTGATAAGGTCTTGTAAAAATTGCATTATAGTTTAAAAAGTGCATTCGAACTATGTTGGCATCTACTTACAAGTCCACTCATGTGCATATCAAGACCATAAGACAAGTCAACATTTCTCCATAAATTTGAATCTGAAATCTCGCTCACATAATTTTCCTCTCTATGAGCACTTAAACAATTGCCCTAGATTTAAATTGGTATAGATATACAATTTTGTTTTTTAGGTAAAAGTAACAAGAAGAAATAATGTAATTGCTTTATTTAATTTTAGACATGAGATGAGCATATACAATATATATATATAGTAATGTTGTAATAGGTGATGAGCAAGATATATGTAAGTATGAGGGGCATGAATGATATGGAAGTGCATAGTAGAGAGGGGAGATGTATTATTGAGTCAAGTTCCATGAGTAGGTCTTTAAGATGAGCTAAGAGATCAGCTCCTAGGTCCTCAAACTCAAATACCAACATATTTGCTGCTGCTGCTGCTGTTGGGGAGTTGGAGGAGGAGGAGGAAGAGGAGGAGGAGGAGGACCCACCATTCTCACAGCTGCAGCTGCAGCTGCAGCTGCTGGACTTTATCGTCTTCACGTCACGAAGCGATTCCTCTGAAGGAAAGTTGAGGCGAGCCAATTCGCCTCGCATCACAAACGCAGCTTGGTCATAAGCCAAAGCAGCCTCCTCTGCAGTACTAAATGTTCCGAGCCATACACGCACTCCTTGCCTCGTGGAATCACGTATCTCCCCCGCATACTTTCCCCATGGCCGCTTCCTTACCCCTATGTACCTCTTTTCCTTTCCTGCCTCCTTTTTCGCCTTTGAAGTAAACCCTTCTTCATCATTAAATCCTTTACAAGAATCAGTTTCCAAAGATTTTTCCTTCACATTCTCATAAGCTAGAAGAACACTGGCTTCCGAGGGAAGAGAATCATTACGAAAATTTATCTCAGCGAATGGAGATTCAGGCATGATGTCAAACCTAATGTATTGAGAATTTTCCATGAGTGAATCGATAGGCTCAGATCTGGTCTGAAATCTTTTCGCCTTTGATTCAATCCCTTTGAATGCCTAAACTTCAAACAAAGAAAGAAGAAGAGAAGAAGCTAGAGGATGAGATTAAATTTGTCAAAGATACTTTATTGATGTATTTTATCTTGTACCTTGTACTTGTTCATTTTATCAATAAAATTTCCTTTTTTTTCGCCGATTAAAAAAAAAATTATAAGTTCTCTTCAACACAAACAAGATGTCATTTGCATTTGTCCCTTGTATGTATATTAAGAAGTTGTGGGTTTTTCTTTCTTTCTTTTATTATTCTTCTTCTTATTATTATAAAAATAGTCGGTGCACATTAAGTATTTATCCTCACTTGTCACATTTGAATAAATAGGTTAATTTTAGAACTTCTAGTTGATTTTTTAATTATTTTAATTTGGTTAAAAAAATTATGTTGGGGATGATATAGTTGGTTTTTTTATTTTTTATAATCGATTTGATAATTGTGAGAGAAAAAACTAAATGATTATAATTTAAATGTAATATTTTATCTTATTGATTATTTTAACATATTTTACCTTTATTAACTATTTTAGTCACAAAAAAAAAAAAAAAACACCAACCCAACTTCCCAAACACCTCCAATGTAAACTATACAGTGTAATTTTTGTATTATAATTTTGTGTATCTAATATTTTTGTAATTATTATTCAGAAATGCTATGAATAATGCATTGTTATTCTGAAATCTATCCTGAGATGAGTTGTAAGATGTATATTTAAAACTAGTGAGGTATGAACTATATTCAAAATAATTGTGATGTATAATTGTGTTTTTCTCAATATTATTTTCTGAAGTTATAGTATAGTTATATCTATCATATTAGTTCATGTGGACAAGCATAGCATCCATAACAGTTTGTTTATTTATTTTATTTTAGCAAAGAAAAGATAGATTAATGGTTGAACTCTAAAGAATTGTTTTGGATAATCTAATAAATATATATTTTTTTTTATTTTTTACGAAAAGATGTATAAAAAAGTAAAGAGGCGATATGATCCAAAAAAAAAAAAGTGTGCTAATGTCCAACATGCAAAACAAGATCTAAATTAAAATTAATACATTTTCTGTGATCGAGTATACCAGACCAATTTATGAATGCATCGACTAATCTTGGGACCCAAGCAGAGCGCCCCCTGCACAAGGACTGGATAAATCTTAGACAGAACCCGCAGGCATGGCCCTGAAGTGTTGAACTTGAGATTTGGAGGGAGCACATCCCCAAGCATCAAGTTGTACCCACTAAGCTAATCCCTAAGGATTAATATATAAATACATAATCTAATTATTTAATTTATGTTTTCTTTGATTGACTCGGTCATCAATTCTATGTCCCTTAGGCCCTATTTGTTTTGGGGTATAAAAGATGGAATGAGATTATGATGGAGGTAGGGTTATTTAGTATTGTGTTTGTTTGTAGAGTTGGGGAAGGGATTATGATGGAGGAGGGGATTAAGATGGAAGTTGGAAGGGGGATTGGGATGGAGGAGGTGGAAGTGATATTAGAAAAATAGTGAGGGGATTAGAAATTTTTTTTACTTTTTACATATTGAGAATTTTTTTTTGAACATTAATGTATAATTTTTTGTATTTTTTTATTTGTTTTATTATTTTATATAAAAATAATTTAACAATTCCTACACTAATAACTATTATCAAAACAAACACAATTTTATTTAATTCCCTCACTATCAATCCCCTGCATTCTATCTCTGAAAACAAACTGGACTTTAAGTCAATCCTTAAGAGACAGTATTATTATAAAACAGTTAACAGCTGAGAGATTCATGATTTGAATCTATAAAACCATTACTCTTTTCCTTTCCTGCCTCCTTTTTCGCCTTTGAAGTAAACCCTTCTTCATCATTAAATCCTTTACAAGAATCAGTTTCCAAAGATTTTTCCTTCACATTCTCATCAGCTTGTTTACGAAAATTTATCTCAGCGAATGGAGATTCAGGCATGATGTCAAACCTTAGGTATTGAGAAGATGAACAATCTTCCATGAGTGAATCGATAGGCTCAGATCTGGTCTGAAATCTTTTCGCCTTTGATTCAATCCCTTTGAATGCCTAAACTTCAAACAAAGAAAGAAAAAGAGAGAAGCTAGAGGATGAGATTATTTGTCAAAGATACCGCAAGGTATAGTTGGTGCACAGTAAGTATTTATCCTCACTTGTCACATTTGAATAAATAGGTTAATTTTAGAACTTCTAGTTGATTTTTTAATTATTTTAATTTGGTTAAAAAAATTATGTTGGGGATGATATAGTTGGTTTTTTTATTTTTTATAATCGATTTGATAATTGTGAGAGAAAAAACTAAATGATTATAGTTTAAATGCAATATTTTGCTTTATTGATTATTTTGACATATTTTTCCTTTATTAACTATTTTAGGTAAAAAATAAAATAAAAAAATACACCAACCCAACTTCCCAAACATCCCCAATATAAACTATACACAGTGTAATTTTTGTATTATAATTTTGTGTATCTAATATTTTTGTAATTATTGTTTAGAAATGCTATGAATAATGAAAAGTTATTCTGAAATCTATCCTAAAACGAGTTGTATGATGTATATTTAAAATTAGTGAGGTATGGACTATATTCAAAATAATTGTGATGTATAATTGTGTTTTTCTCAATATTATTTTCTGAAGTTATAGTATAGTTATATCTATCATATTAGTTCATGTGGACAAGCATAGCATCCATAACAGTTTGTTTATTTATTTTATTTTAGCAAAGAAAAGCGTTATATATATTTTTTAAATATTAAAATTTTTAAATTTATTTTATTTTATTTTATTTTATTTTATAAATATATTTTTAAATATTTTAATTTTTTTATGTGTTTTGTTATGATTTGAGTGTAGAGATTTGAAAATAGTGTGGAATTTCGAGTTATGTGTTTGGGTATAATGTTTGAAAATATTTTTTGAATTGAGTTTTATGGTTGTGTTGGTCAATTCAAAAATTATTTTCAAAACTCATAACCAAACACAAACTTAAAAAAATACAAACTTATGTTAAATATATTTTTTAAATATTAATTTTAAATTTTTTTATTTTATTTTAAATATTTTATTTTATTTTGTAAATATATTTTTAAATATTTAAAAAAAAAATTATGTGTTTTGTTATGATTTGAGTGGAGAGTTTTGAAAACAGTGTGGAGGTTTGAGTTATGTGTTTTGTTATGATGTTTGAAAATAATTTTTGAATTGAGTTTTATGATTGTGTTGGTCAATTCAAAAATTATTTTCAAAACTCATAACCAAACACAAACTTAAAAAAAATACAAACTTATGTTAAATATATTTTTTAAATATTTAAAAATTTTATTTTTTTATTTTAAATATATAGTTTTTATTTTAAATATTTTATTTTATTTTATAAATATATTTTTAAATATTTTAATTTTTTTGTTATGCGTTTGGTTACGATTTGAGTGTAGAGTTTTGAAGGTAGTGTGGAGTGTCGAGCTATATGTTTGGTTATGAGATTTGAAAATAATTTTTAAATTGAGTTTCGAGTTTTGAGTTATGTGTTTGGTTATGAGTTGAGTGTCAAGTTGTGCTTTGAGTTTAAAATATTAAAATTAAACAAATCAAAATATTTACAAAATAAAATAAAATATTTAAAAATATTTAAATAAAAATTATATATTTAAAATAAAAAATAATTTTTTAAAAATATTTTTAATATTTAAAAAAAAAATCCAAAAATATTGTTCTAAACACTGTTTGCTTTTTCCAAACTTGGCCTCCAATCCAAAAACATTTTTTAATATTTTTAAAGGAAGGGCAATAAGGTAATTCACTATAGCAAAAAGTAACACCGTTTGAAACAATTTGATAAAAGGAAAAATCTTGACATTGTCAGATAAAGTAAGAAAGTTATTGTAATTATTCAAACTGCAGGAAAGGTCCTATATTTATTAAAAACATGAGGGAGGTATGTAATTTACCCTAAGATTTATTACAACACACAATGCAACATTCTTAACAATTTTTATGATAACAAATCTGGTACCATAACATTAATCATTCTTTTAAGTGCTAATCCCATATTAGAGCTGTGGTGTGTTTTGTTGTTAATAAATTTGTGCACCGTAATAATTTTACAAAATTAATTACAAAACTGATTACAGAAAACAAGGATGGGGCTTCCCTCCTATCTAAATCTGAACTGGACAGTGTTAATCGTGGGTTCAGTTTTGATGATCCAAATCGTTCAAGATTTTGATAATTTGAATCGTTTATTTTATCAAGCCCTACATATATATCATTCATTAAAAATTGAAGGACTTACATGTAGATCATAATAGGCAGACTTATTGTTTAATAGGTCCTATGATAATTAATAGCTTTTTTCATCAAACACTATGAAAAAAGTCATTAATTGTTAATTTTTAACGACAGTCTAAAAATTATCACAAAAAAATATAACTAATTATAAGATTCAGAGACAGTTTAAAAAAATCATCACAAAAAATGTCACTAACTTCTAATTTTCAGCCACTATTTAAAAAATTCATCATAAAAAAAAGTCACTAATTGTAAGTTTTAACGACAATTTATAAAAATCATGACAAAAAAAAGTTACTAATTGTCAATTTTTAGCAACATGTAAAAAATCGTTACAAAAAATTATTTTTGACGACGATTTTACTAAAACGTATCTTCAATAAGACTTGATGAGAATTAAATTAAATTATTATGACCTATTGGTAGTTTACGATTAAAAAAATTAGATCGAACATATATGTTTATAACTCTTTAATTTTCTCAAATTTGTCACCCAAAAAAATCACTGTCCATATATTTTAGAAACAGACCATCTATTTTAGTTTTAGCACAAATGCAATAAAATAAATGGGTTACGAATATTAGATCAATCTAATTTTCCATGGATAATATACACTTAAAGTTCAACAAAATAAATAATTTGAATAATCAAAATAAGACCTATAGTGAGTCTCACCAACCCAGGCAACGCCCTTCAATCCACATGATGGACTGGAAAAGCCCAACTCATAAAAATATTAGGTTA